CTGCTCTTGCAGCTGGAGGAAACTTACTGCGCGTTAAAAACAACACACGGTGGTGTCTTCTAAAAGATCCGTGTTTTGTGCGTAACTAACTTATTTTGACGAAGTTATAAAAACAAAAAAAAAACCCCAAATCCAAAAAACCAAACAAAAAGGCGTGGGGACATTCTTTAGGAAAACAGCTTCAAGAACTGCAAGGCTTTCAGGCTAAAATTCAAACTGACACCGAGCTGGGTTTTAACTCGGTAACAGCACCTCCCGCCCTGTACGAACCTTCTCCCTCAAAGGCATACGCCAGCCCCACCAAGGCCCCCCATCCCGGGGGACGGCAGGCCACGGCAGCTGGCTCCCCCCAGCAGGACCGATCCTGCTCCACAGCGTGGGACTCCCCCGCCTGCCCTCCTGGCCTCCGCAAGGGCCGGGCTGCGTCTGCCGCTTGCCGTGCTGTCCCCATGTTCCCCAGGAGTGAGGTTTGTTCGTATCATTAGGATGGCATTACAACACCCACATAAAATGGAGCACTATATAACATTTTGAACAAACGTGAGCTTGGAAAACAAAGTGTCGAGGTAAAGCCAAAAAGATACAAGGTGAGGTGAACTGACTACCATGGGAGCCATCAGCCTTTGTTTCAAAGGAAGAATTAAAACCCATAACAGAAAACAGCATGTCAGTGGATCTTCCTAACACTCACACAGCCAGGATCTGATCTATACCTCTCAGCCAAAAGCAGACGATCCCTATGCGTTCATTTTTTTTCTAAATGAGACTGCGGAGATAACCATGAAGAGTATTCCTGCTTTGACGCCTGTCTTGCTCTGTTTCAGGTCTGAATATTTTGCCTCATTAGCTCTGCACAGCAAGATCTGCAGATATTTTGCACTGGTGGGGTACATGGGACCAAAACAAAACACGACACTAAATCAATTTAAGTCAAGTTCTTACACTTTTGAAAATCCTGTCTGATGTCCTCCATACTAGTACTGACAGGAGAAAGGAAAAGAGAAGCAAGGTGGCCAGCCAATTTTCTCTCTACCACTTCTTTCATATAGTTTCTCTTGTCTGCTCAATATAAGAACCTGTAGCATGCCTTTAATTCACATTTGGAAGATTCATTTCCAGCAGATTATGAAACCCAGCAACTTGCAACAAAGCGTTTAGTGACTCCTTTGAAATTCACTGTGCCATGTTCACTTTTTGATACTGCTCCAAAGTATGTCTTATACTTGGTCTGCCATCAAATCCAGACTGAACTGGAGACATAATCACACCTCTGTCCCTGCCTCTCTGCAGAGCCCGATGGCCTTCACTTTCACGAGCAGACAGACAGGACCCTTGCCTTCATCTTCAGCCTTCCCATTTCACAGCCTAGCTCTGTTGCCTGCAGTTACTCCTCAGGCTGCAAGCTGAAGGTCAGTGACGCAGACATACACCCCTATCTACAGCTACTCTGATGGAGTAGTCAGCTCCGAGCGAGTGGATGCACAGCCTCATCGCAGCAGCATCTGCAGGTGCTGCAGCAACACCAGCAGAGCCACAGGGAGACTAAAGGCAGCCTAAACCTCAGCACGCAGGCTAGGCCAGCCAGTGTACGAGCAGCAACACAACAGATCCTATTCACCTTAATCTTAATGCCATTTCCGCACTGGTGGCCGTGTAGTTTTGCAGCTTTATCCCTTTTTGTTCATATACTAAGACACTCTAGATTCACTCTCAGAAGAACTTATTCATTCTTTTCAGGGAAACTATTAGTACTGAAGTGACATACAGCTGTTTCCTTACTAGGAAGACCTATAGTTTAAAGCCAGAACTATATCAGAACTGGGAATGTAATTTATACACTCAGCTGAACAGATTTAGTGAGTATTAAAACCAAGAATCCACAAACCTGCACGAGATATTGTGCTGGTGGTAGTGTGTGGACAACAGGCAAGGTAAGAGCTCAACTTAAGAGAAACAGCAAAGATATTCCCAAACCTCTTCTGATGTAATTACTATTACATCTTCTCTTCAAATCAAAACCAATACCTGTACAGCATCACTCACAGCTCTGGGAGTCCACCACACCAGGGATAAATGATCTCACAAGCCCTCTCCAACCCCAGATCACTCTGTGTATTTCAGAGAAGCTGTCTCCTACCTCCTTCATCGAAGGGAGATTCTACAGCACTGAGTACTGGTTTTCCCCCACTACTCAAATTGATATTCAGTTTTGAAAGAGCACTTCTCAGTTCTCACAAATACTGGCCAGGTATGTTGTTGCTACAGTGTACTAGCCTCCTTCCTCCTCTCTACTTCTTCAGTTCAAGTACGCATGTATGCCAGGGAGAGTATTTCATTAGATACAGAAGAGCAATCTCTGGCACTCTTGACATGACAGTCAAAGACAATTTACTCCAGCAACAAGAAAACACCAAAAGCACTTGAAAAAGAAAAAGTATTCTTAGTTAGTAAACGAAAAAATCATTAACCAATTTATGAGGTTGACTAACAAATCACTTAAGGCACATCTTCAATTTCAGTCTATCTTGACTTAGTAACAAACTAAAACACTCTCACACCTGGTTTTAAGCAAGTTGCTATTATTTTGCAAACAATTCTTGTAAGTGTTCTGAAAGACCCTCCTCTAGCAGCCCACTTCAGTCTTTTACTATTGAAAGCACTTTATTCTTAAGATGACAGGTCATACAAAGAAAAAGTTGGAGACACTGGCTAACGTATTGCATTGTTTTTAGTACAAAAAGCTCCACTTCTTTAACACTGCCTTTCTACGCAAGAAACTTCCTTGAGAAGCTAGAGTAGCATCTGCTTGTACTTCAAGTAATTATTCTCTGCTTCTTTGCCCCTCCTAAGTCTCCTTGACTGAGGTCATCAAAATAACAAGTACATTTTAAAATCAAAGTTTACCATTTGTAGGATTTCAGGGGCAGGACTCTGAAAGTCATTATTAGGCAACCATTCTTCTCAAAGTGAAACAGTTTGTGCTTAACACTACTAAACAGTTAGATTCTCTCATTATCTATGCTGGCTAGTGTTATTACCCTGTCCAGAGGTCTCTGACTTCAGTATACATACAGAGTTAGATCAGCAGTTATTACACTGCAGTCATTACTTCCTACAGGTCTGCAAAAGTAGCTAAGAAGATTAGTCCGTTGTTGGTAGGCTTACATTCATTTTTCAGGCATCTGTATCCTCTACAGGACACTTTTTTTAGTGGTTTTAAAGTAATTAAAAAAAAAAAGTTGAAAACCCACTGCTTTAAATTGTGTCAGCTTTATTCTCGCAGGGAAAATACAAATGTTTTGGAAGCTTGAAAATGGTCATGAAAAGGGATCATCTAACGTATAATAATCCTTTAGCTACTAGACAAGATAAAAACCTACCTCAGAAAGAAGGCATGAAGTAAGAAGCAGCAAGTACCTATAAGGGTACGTGCTTGTGTGCTTCAAACTCATTCACATACACTTACAAGTCCAGGCACTTTCAGTCAAGTAGTTATTCTGTACTGTTTTAACACTAACTTGAAATTTTTGTAATCCTTAAACTACGGTTGACAAAGTTCATTTATACGTGACAGTTTCTGAGCCCTCATCCCCTACATTAAAGGCAAGTGGAGATTAGGCACCAAACTGTCTCTATATTTATTTAAAACAAGCCAACATGGAGATAGTTTGATCACAAGCTTATTCATTCCATTGGTACATCCATCTTCTCCTGAACTGACAGGATGACTTCTCCTGGCTTGTTACTCTGGTACTTTATCAGCATTAAAGTTATTTAGAAAGTGACCAAGATGGGGAAGACCTGGTGAAAGAAGATACAAAGGGAAAAAAGTAACACTGATTAATCTTGCATGGTTGAAAGCTTTCTCCTGCTAACCAGCAAGGAAATATAACAGCAAAGAATCAAACAAACAAACATTTTGAGAGCATAATTACAATGCTCCAAAACTTAACTGGGAAGTGATGGGCAGCGAAGACATTCAAACAATTCCCCAATCAATCGAATTTGCAATAACAGTCTCCTATTGTAATCTTGCCTCCTGTAAAATTCACGGAAGAACTGTGCTTGCATACACATACAGATATTGCAGCAATATCAATAAATTATAATCTCCACTGAAGCCCATATTTTATTCCAATCCCATGAAGAAATACAATATTAATCACTAAATCTAAACAAACTCACTACTCAGCTCAAAACGGATACAATCTCCCAAGCACTTATAAAAAACTCTGCAATACCACACAGTTAATATAACACTAAACAGAAAAATTAATTCATAAAACATTCCAGAAAACACCATCAATCTGTGTACTCAGAAAAAGCAGACTCACCATTTCAACGATTCCTAGATCTCAGCACTTCTTAGAAGTTGTATCAAATATTTTCATATATACACACGCACACACAAAAGCTTTCTGAGCTACATAGTACGCTAATAGCATACACGCAACAGCAGATTTCCATTACCAGAAAGCCACTGCCCTGTTACCTGCTACACACACCCACACATCACAAGTG